TAGTTAGCTATGAAGATTATCTGCTGTGAATTAAATTTTCAAATACCTATGCGATTGATGATACGAAACTCATTGGTCTGTAGTTTGTAGGAAAGCGATGATCTTTGCCTGGTTTACAAAAGGGTAAAAGTATAGAAAATTTCCAATCTTTTGGAAAGTAGCCCAGTCTTGGACAGGAATTAAATAAGGCGGTTAAAATAGCAACTGTTCTTTTGGATAATTCTTTCAGATCTCTGTTGTTAATATGATTTCTAATTTTGGGGTTTTCAATTGCTTAATAATTTTAGAAGTTTTGGATGGAAATACAAATTTTATTTTATCTGGGACATTATAGTCTGGGAACAGGAGGTATCTTGCAATATAATTAGTGAAAGTAGAATTTGTATTTGGGTGTGGAATAAAATAGTTTTGCAGATATTTACCTAACATGATGGCTTTCATATGATCCGTAGTAGTTACATTTGAGTTGTGGTTTAGAAAAAAATCCTCTAACACGTGATGTAGCCAGAATCCATGATGTTTGTCCATGATACCGAAAAATGGATTGACGGCAAAAAGTCCGTTCGTTCGACTGATCATCCGTATGTGAACAACACTAGCGCCTAAACTATGCGTACGATTTTTTCAAAACTGAATAATCCTTTGTAGATCTGACCTGAGTAGAAGCTCTGCGATTTTGAAAAACATTCATTAATTTTTGGGGAGGCTTTACATGAAGCTCCAGTGATCTTTAATTTTTTTTTTAAAAACAGCTCCAAATTTTTTCCTTTAATTTCTTGTAAGAAAACAGCAAGATACTGATAAAGATGACAGGTCCGATTTTCATTGCAACTCTAACTTTTCGATAGTTGCAAAAGTTTGAATTTTTTTCGGCACTTTCCCACAACTACAATATTAAAGAATGGATTCTTCCTTCAAACAAAATTTGTTCTTTATATTTAGTTATTGTATTTAGGTCATGTACATTTTGAAACTTTTAGTAGTTTTCACGCAGTGTTACGTGCAATATGTGCAATATTGCAAAATAACAAATCAAGATTTTCTAGAAAGCGACTCCAATTTTTTCTTGAAACTTTTGGTAGTGCTAAATGCATGCTATATTGCTGACATGCTAATGTGACATGCTATATTTCTGTATTCTTTGTTGGTACATTAACACCCAGTCCCTTAGGAACCAATCATCTATACAACGCTAGAGCGCGTCCATAGCAACGGCCATTAAAATACTCGAGTTCATTAAAAATATTAGCGGACTTTATCAGCGCAGGAGATTTTATTAGCGCTCATAAATCTTCGCATAAATATGACGTTGCCACAAAACACAATTAATGGGAATAAATGTAAACAAAATTTATTTTTACAACCATTTTGGTACCGATATAATGAAAGTTGTGTGTTATCATAATCTCTTTGTTAATGCTTCAAACATTCCTTTTCGGTAGTCAATCACAAAACTCATGAAAGTTATATTTTTTTAAATTTTGAATAAGTGATAAACTAGAAAGTGAAAAGTGAAAAACTCGTATGAAACTCGTCCTCTATTAGTCCTTAAGAACACATCCGGAAGGTTAACTACTCAGCTTCGCTATCGCTCCGCCTCATAGTTACCTTCAGGCTTCATTCTTGAAGACTCATTGAGCGAACTCGTGTCATAAAACACTATTTTAGACATCTTTCTCATGTCCTTAATATTTACATTAGTGGCAATTTTTCACATTATTACGTGCTTTAAAAGTTTTCTATAAAATGTCTCAAAAATTCAAACGTTTTCTGCGAATATAGCTTGAATTTTCGCGTTTTCAGAAATTCTCAAACGCCATTTTATCAAAAACGGCTCCAATATTTTCTTTAAACTTTTGGTTGTCGTAGAGTTATATGTACTCTAAAGGATGGCTTAAAAGCTCTATTTTATTGTTTTTCAAAAATTACAAAAATGTAATTTTTTTATTAGCCTCTCGTCGTTAATATTTACCGGTGATTTCTTCACATTATTGCACTTACGAGTTCATGTTCTTTAGTTGATGCCCTATGAAGTTTCTCGAAAACTGAAAATTTTTCTGAGAAAACGAGCTTAAAAGTATGCATTTTTAGAAACTGTCAAATGTCAGTTTCTCAAAAAAGGCCCCAATTTGTTTCTTCAAACTATTTGTAGGGTTAGTGCTAATTGCACTGTTTTAAGATGACATAAATTAAATTTTGCTGTCTTGTTTTGTTTTTTTAAAAAAAATACACACATATATATTTAAATATCTCTGATGTCGTTATTATGCACATTTCCAGCGATTTGAAAACATTATTGCATTTAAGAGTTAAAGTTCTTTTTATGACTATAAATGAAGTTTTTCAAAAAGTGAATATTTTTCTCTGAAAAAGAGTTTCAAATTTTGCATTTCCGGTAATGCTTACACGCAATTCTCTTAAAAACTGCTCCACCTTTTTCAATGAAAATTGCCGTTTAAAACGAGGGTTTACTGTTTTTAACTATTCTTAAAGCATCAATCAAACATCATCTTCAGAAATACTAAAAATCATAAATCAAATGAAAACAAATTCTTTACAGGACTAGATAATATCCATGACATCCTCATTTAACATACTGCTGCATACTTAAATAGAACCGCTCCCTTACATTTATAATCACTCTTTAATGAAATTTATCTTCCCAAAAATTCTCAAAACAGCAAAAGTTACGTAACTACTAAAAAAGGCTACAATCACCACCTCGCAAACTACCTTACTATCTCTTGAACAAAATTTCAAATTTAAAAAAAAATTACGTATTAAAATGACATTTGCAGAGGCCTTTTATCGATTCAGAAATGGCAGATCAACTGTCACAGCTATCTTCTCCTTTCCAAATGACATTCTTATTGCTCTAGAACAGAAAAATATTTACAATGGTTTGTTTCTAAATTTATCAAAAGCATACGTCTTTATTGGCCAACACATACTGTTATCAAAACTTGAAACTTTGGAAATTAGAGGCATTACATATCAATGGGTTACCTTTAAAATTATCAAGTTGTCAAATTCAAGCATGTTAGAGATGAAGATTTCAACCCACTTTTCCCCAATCTACGTTGATAAATTACAGAGTACCACAAGGATCAATCCTCGGTCCTAATCTATTTCTTTTATATATCATCATGCTCTTGACTATGAAAACGTTTTATTTGCAAATAACGTTATTATTATTATTATTATTATTATTATTATTATTATTATTATTATTATTATTATTATTATTAAAGAAAAATATCCAACAAACTCTACAATAAGAAGCACAAACAGTTCTAGAGGCACAATAAAATGGTTTCAAGTAAACCAATTCTTTATATACACCAGTAAACTTCAGAAATTTACTCTCTAACGAAAAGCCACCAGTACAATTGGTCATAAAAACATGCTTGTAAAAATAGCCCAAAAAACATATTTTGTGGAGTCAAGATGATCTAAAATGGAACTCTCACATTAGGCCTACAGATCTAAATAACAAGCATAGAGAGTCATGATATGCCATCTTCATCCAGAAGTATATATTAACGTGGATACGTAATGAATAGTGTACTTTGCAAATGTTCATAAAAATGGTATTTAATCATATTCTGGGGAAATTCCCCAGGAAGTATACACACATTTTCATCATACATAAATAAATATTGAGAATGACACTCCCAAGTATGAGTTTTGCAAGCACTGTTCAAAAATTCCAATTCTTTCACTCCTATGGATGTACACATTTGAAATAGTAATCTTCACAAACAATACCCTTATGAGGAACCCTTAAGACCCTTCTTATCATTTTCATCAATCTTCGAACCGAATATCATTCGTGTACAGGCCAAATTTGCATTTTCACAATGAAAGCAGATGGCAATGAATTTGAAGTTGTGGAAATTAATTAGCTATTATATGGCTATTAATTTCCATGAGCTTGTTCCATTTGTTGGATTGAAAAAACATTGTATGTATTTTATACATATTTCTACTAGTGGATGTGGCAATGATGCGCTATTGCAGTGTATTACACATCACACTATACGTGTCGCGTGATTGTTAATCACGTTTTATGCCACGCTCGTGGTGGTTATTTCCACCGTGGCAACGCTGGACAATTATTCTAATCTAGATGAGACTTTCTCGCAAGTATGGTTTATTCTATGTCCTGATTTGGATACGGTTGTCAAGTTCTATTGTTAAAATGTTCTTTCTCAAATTTGAACATGATTAGTAGGTTGGTTGCGTAGACTTCAGGGACGTTTGAGTTGTCTTACATGAATAAAGCATCCTCAACAATTCCTCTACATGTCTGATTTAATTCGAACTACTCTTTAAACACTCTTATAACTAATAAGAACAAAGTGTGAAAATTTCAGCAAAAATGGTAGAGTAGTTTTTGCGTCTATGTGCGACACACACGGCACATTCCCTTTTATTTACATGTAGATTCTTGTTTTCTACATGCAACTTGATATCAAGACCCAGCACAGAGTTTTTCTTTGACAAAAATTGGTGGGATTTAATTTGATAATGAGGCAAATAATTAGCAGTTAATTATTACACATTTTTTCCATTCTGATATGGCTGTTGCAGCTTGAAACAGCTACATGGCAACATTTGAAGTCATGCTATCCACAAATCATAAAGGAGTACGGATTTGGCTGGAATAAAATATATGAAAATATGATGTATTAATATGAAAATTTATTTTATTGCTTGTCTTGTTTTTAATATTAACACACCAAATTGAAACATGCCTGTACTAAGAAGGCCTACAATATCATATCTAAATCTGTACTAATTGTCATATATTCAATAATGAAATTAAAAATAATGAAATACTCCCTGTTTCCTAACCAAATTTCCATTTTTCCTCCTAGTGTTCCTGAGTTCCC